GTGCTGTGACTGTTCCTACTGGAAGGTTCTCATTACTATTCAGGGGGTTTGCTGGCTCGTCAGTGAATCGTGCACAGCATTCCGATTGCTGAAGTGTGGCCCAGAAACCGGAGAAAGGAGAGGAGACTGAGTCTATAGAAGCTTTTTCCTGAATTCTAAGATTGATTGGGTTCTCGAATAAGACTAACAACCTCTTTGGCCACAGTGTTATTATTTATTTGTCCCAGAGGAAGTGACAGTGCATTCGTCCCCTCTGTCCCTCTCTTTAAATCTCAGTATCTTTGTTAATATGGTGGGAAAATAAGAACAGTAACATGTAATGGACTGAATGTGCTTTTTTCCTTAATTGAAGAGAACAGTTCCCTTAACCTTAGCAGAACTGGGCTGCAATCGAAGGTTTTAATACAACTTTCATTATTTGCCAACATCTTCCAAGATAAATTATGCCAATAACCTATAAGATCCAAGTTAAGCATCTTCTCAGACATAGCGACTTTCAGTTACTAGTCAAAACATAAAACCAATTTTTAGTTGCTGTTTGGCTTTTTTATATATATGTGTGTATATATATATATAACTATATATGTATATGTAGGTGTTGCTTAATCACAGTTCTAACCAGTAACTAACTGGTTGCAAATTTGTCAGAATAAACACTTTCAAAACACTGACACTTTCAGTAGAGGACATTACTTTGGTGCTGTTTTCAGTGGGGTAGGTTCTGAGTCTCAAAGCTGAAACTCCAGTCAGAGAGGGTGAAGTGAGTAAGAAAACTTGGAATTTTGGAACTGAAAATGCATATTTGCAAGTAATTTCATGTGTTATTTAACAAGATTATGCTTTGGTAGAATGAAAATAAGTATTTGATCTCCAAAGACTTCAAAACTCAATGAAAGGAATTCTGGTTCTGGCAATCCTGCTGTTTTGTCCAGCATTGTTTCACTCTGCTCATTTTGCAAATACCTAGACACAGCATTTAGTGTTCCTGAACAGTCCGGACTGTGTGCAGCGCTCAGCACATCACCTTCGAGAGCATATGGTCTAACAGAATTTGTGACAGTCCTTTTGCCACTCCTGGAGTTTTCTGTTCTCTTTTTCCAGATTCAGAGTACACACATCATTATAGGTTTTTATCCATGTTCAGCTTTGTATTGTTACCAGTGAACGAAGCGTGTGAACTGAACTCATACTAGAATAAGGATAAATGTTATATTAAAATTGCAAGTATGTCAGAGGGTGAAAAGGTTTTCTTAAGAGTAAAATTGCTTGTGCAGTTAGTATAATATAACAAAAAAAGGTAACAAACTTTTTCATATTCACAAGCAATAGGTCAGGTAATAGTGGGCTTAAATTTCTTCAGTTAGACTTCAGGAAAAAAAAATAAGGTTAATTAAGCAGTGAAAGTTCCATCATTTAAATATTTTACAGTGTGAATGGAAAAGGATCTGTCAGGAATAGTTGAATTAAATCTGATGGTGCTGTCAGGCAAAGGGATGGATTTCATTGCCTCTCAAAAATGCCCCCTTACTGTCTGTGCATCATTTTCTACTGAAGATGCCTACTGTCTGGATTTACCTAACCTCCTACTGGTTCATAGACCGGTCTCCTTAAAGAAAGTTTTGTCCTCGGTTCTTACATGCTGCTTGTAGATACTGAGCTCTGTTTCCCTCTAGAGGAGCACAAGGCCAAGTACAAATTGGTGTTCTCATGGTAACATGACTCCCAAAAAAGGAAAGTAAATGCCTGCACTAGCTGACCCACTACTATTTATTACTGTATAGCCTCTCCAGATGTAGTTTCACATAGTCAGATACAGTCCAATGGTTTTGGCTTAACAAGAACATGGGCTGTTGTGGATATCTGGAGCAAAGGAGTGTATTTCTCAGCAAACTAACCAGAGGAAGAAAGTATTTTGTCTACTGATAACTACCTAACCACCTAAAGATTCAGACAGCACCTCAGGGACCGACACCATGATGCTTTTGATGGAAGCTGAAGATAATCTACTGGATAAATCTTCCAAGTGTTTCTCCTTGCTTACCAACATCTTTCTAGTATTGACCGGATTTATTCACCAGAAAATTGCCTGAAGCCAAGTTGTCGTTTCAGCAATGATAGCAGCTGCAGCTGTTGAGAGAGATGAGTGTCAGTTGCATGTTGTTACATCTGCCTGAACCCCTTTGCATCATTTTAATTTACAGTGGACTCAGCAAAATACTGAAAATGAAGTTACTTTGGATAGATACCTCCATAGCCTGCAAATCAGAGATAAAGTAGCAGCACTACTAAGGAAAACAGCTGTGGCTACTATAAGATGAAATTGTGACTGTCAGATCACCTTGCTCCTGTTCTTTGTCGTAATAGCAGACTTTGCAAAGGCTCCTGAGGTGTGCTTCCAGTGTCTACAAGGAGACATTGTAATATACGTGTAATAGCACGGTCGTTACACCACATGCAGCTGGAGATTGGAGTTTACTAGTCACTTAGCTGTTTATTCAAGTTGAGGATTGCGGAGCTCTGGAATGAGCTGAAGTTCACTTCAGGGTCAAGTTTGTAGAAAATTTTAGGAGTCAAGCTTGCTTTGGGACTATTTAGCTGTCAGTAGATTAGACAGAAATGTCCCCATGTAGGAAATGCTACTTTCTTCTGTTTAGGGGGGTACTCCAGAAAGTGTTGGTGGAATGATTGTGGCACTCTGCTGTCAAGGCAGCCCTGTAAACCCTTGCTCTGGTCTCATACGGAAATAGTTCTAACTGTAAATGGATTTTGGTAACTTGAGCTGAGAAGCCATAAGCAGCCATAAGCAGTGCTGCCCCGTGTCTCCCTTGTACACCAGTGGTTCTAACAACAAATGTGTTTCAGCAGTTCTAGCAGAATGAGCCTAAGGAGGTCCTTGGATCTTTGCACTGCTTCAGTCACTGATCTTAATAGCTGACCACTGCAACTGAAGAAGCAAGAAAGGATGACTCGGAGCCTCAGACCTGTGTGGTACTCAGCATGCCTGCACATCCTTATGCCCAAGCTGGTCCTAAGTCTGTGGCACATAAAGGCACTCAGCACCTTGCAGGATCAAACCATGGAGTGAACCCTCTCCCCATCCACCCCGACACTTCTAATCAATAATAAAGGCAAGAAAAGTGGATTTATTATGAGTACTGATCAAGTAACTAGATTAAGAGTAATTGAGGACAGGATCAGAGAGATGACTAAGCTTTAATTTCTTTGGGGACTGTTGCTATAGCCCAGATTTTATTTACAGTCTCCTGCCAGAAAAAAATCTATTGACTGTTTGTGTCAGTTTCTAGTGGACCACACGCTGCTCTAATAGCTGCAGCTGCAACAAAGGATGTGACAAGTCCACATTTTTGAGATGCACCGAGTACCAAATACTAGAGTTGTTTCTCCCTGGGTAACAAGTACAGATGTGTGTCAGTGCAAGACAGGAGCTTGAAAGCACTTAGAATAGCTACAAGATGAGTGGGAGAGATGTGAACTTAATATAGTCACTAAAGATCAGCTGACAGCTCAAAGAACAGAGAAGCAGTGCTGCAAGTGACATGTTTTTAGTCTTACAATACCTTTTCTTTCATTGTTTACAAGCATATACAGAAAGATGTTTGGGTTGAGCTTTTATGATTTCTTTCCTTACAACTTCTACAGTTACTTTTATCATTCTCTGTTAGCTATTTTAAAGTCATCGTTGTAACAACTACTTGTGATGTCCAGAGTAGATAATTGCAGCTGCAGCTGGGCATTAACAGCAGGAGTAATGAAGTCTTGAGAATGACCTCACAGTTTTTATGTGAAAGACTTGACAGTAATGTGTCAGGAAAAGAAAAATCAAGAAATATAAAGTAGGTGATCTAAAACATAAGTGTAAAGCAAAGCACTCCTAATAGCAGGAATAGAATGGTTGGGCAAATCCAAGTAGAGTGATACCAGGAAAGATTCCTGGGCGTAGTTCTTCACTGTTGTAGACAATGAAATAGCCAGCACAGAAAGGACTATCAGTCATTCTGGAAGAAGAGACTGCAATGCAAGTTGGCAGCTTTGGTGATGTTTTTGTAAAATTGTCCAGAAGAGATGAGGAAGCATTGAATGACAGACCTCAGAGTAAAAGAGAAGATGTTGCACATACTCCGTAGTGTCAGCTGCCATTGCACTGTTGAAATGGGAGTAACCGATTTATTTTTTGATAATGGAGGTGGCTTCTTAATGTATGTGCCAGTAGAAGGTTCTTAATGCTAAAATGACAACGCTACCCACCAGTGCATTAAGTGATCACTCTTCTGGGTGTTGGTCTCCACAACTGTGTAAAGTCAGAGGGAGAAAGCATTGGCTCCTGCTTTTACCCTCTGAGGTACTGCTCCATCTAAAAAACATGAAGGCACAGACCAGATTTTACCCGGCTGTTTTCTGGTAGTAGCCAACAGCAACTATAGGGAAGAGTACAAGAACATGTAGCATTTCCCCCATGTTGCTTTATAAAAACACTTGGTCTTCTCCAAGAAACTACCAGCAAATACTGATGACAGAATACTAGCATTGTTATGAGAGGGGTGTTCCCAGACTGAGTCCTCTAAACCTGTTTCCCATATAAGACAATATAATACACATGTTCAGCCCATAGAAATTTGGGAGGAATATGGCATGTTATGAAACACTTTGATTTATTCAAGTTTGTTTTCTCACAAAAGGAGTAGTAAGTCGATCTGTTTAGATGAACAGAAAGGAAAACCACCAAACTCCATGGCATAAATGGATTTATTTATAAGTTAAGGAATCTGAAGTTATCCTTAAATACAAATAATACAGAAGCAAACACAAAACTTGTTCAAAAAAACCCAAACAAACCAGGAGAATGACTAAGTGAACAAGGTCATACTGAAATTGTGTGAACAGAAATTACTATTTTCTGTGATCACTCACGTTTAAAGTAAAACTAAGCCCTTAGCCCTGCAATTTAGAATACACGGAGAATCTGGAACTCTTGCCCAAAATCATTGATAATCCATCATTTATTATAAATCATATGGTCTTAGTTGTCAACTCTACATTCATATGAAACAGGATAAAATCTGTTTTCTACTGTCTTTCATACATCTGGCTTTTCTAATGCTCCTGTGACCATGTCAGAATGTTTAAGTGACCCATGTGCCATATGTGAAAATAGCTTGAGTACATAAATACGCTGAATTTCATACCAAAGAAGATCTATTCTTCAGGGACTTTCAGCTCAGCATGGGCAAAGAGGTAACTGTGAAGATCAGGAGACTGTGTGAAGAGGTATCTCCCATTTTCCTTAATTCCTGATTGATTTAGATGCTTTAATATCATATTGTTAATTTTCTTAAGCTCTTCTATGTTCTTCTTTTCAGCTATTAGTCTGCTTGATATTTGGTCCATCTTGTTTCTAGTTTGAACTTGAAAAGGAAAATGTACCACATTAAATTGGCAACATTTAAGTCAAGAACACCATTACTCTCTCTTGCATTCCCACAGGAGTCTGTAGGGAATTATGATGAGTAAAAATATTAAACTGGAAAGCAACTGCAGGACGTAATGTTAAGAAGTTACGTTGCTTATTTAATTGCTTATTTTCTGGTTCATTCAGGTTAGTGCAGAGAAATAAAATCATATACAGCCCAGAAAAATGTTGCAGTCTTCAGGAGTATATCAATTTCGTTGCTATCCACAGGAATATGTCTTATTTAGGGGCTGCGGGGTGTTATTTGTGGGCAGCATGCATCTGTATTTTTCTAAAAGCAGAATTACTAAAACACACAGCAGACTGCAGCCACATCACTGGATTTCCTAATGCATTTAGATTAAAGAAGAAGTCTTGCAAATACTGGCATTTGGAGACCAGTTTCCCCTGGAACACCAGTATGCATAACCGCCATGTACGCTTCTGGAGCTATTTTTATTTTGGCCTTCTGAAGTTAACAAAATTTACCCATGTTTTGAAGCTTAAACTAGTAGTGCCAGTGGTAAACAAATCTGTCTATGGATAGCAAACATAATCTCAGATTATTTGTAACATAATCTGAAACACTACTGGAAATCAGTTTCAAAAACCTTAAGCCTACACCACCCTGAGCCCAAGCAAACTCCTTTAACCCTAGTAAGTAGCCTTTTCACTGTTACTTTACGAGTTTTCCACTAGAGGGGCACATTGCTCATTTTTCTATACTGGAGCTCCACTTTTAGCAGTTCCCCATTAAATAAATATGGAATTCGAGTATGGGGCGTTTACAATTATGCCATTTAAAATTTGCTTTGTGCTCTTTGTCTGATACTCTGTTCTTCAAGCTTATGTCCACAAGTTAAGGGTTACAATTTCCTATTCAAAAAGGAAAAGGAGGATTTTTGCTATACCCCAGTGAATCCCCTACTATAGGATAAAAGAAATCTTAATTTCACATGGATTCCAATTCATTGAAAATAAACTTGTAAGTTAAAAGAATGCATTTCATACTCTGTTCAATACCATTAGCCCAGAAAAGCCCAAGATGGCAAGGGCTCCATAAAGCAAGGTCACCTGTAGCCATGAGTTTAGCTAAGCCAGCCCGACCAGCCCAGCTGAAGCAGAACGGTAATTTCATCTGCAGACTCAATGCTGCATGCCAATTTTGATACATTTTATCAGGGTTTTTTTTGTTCTTATGTTTGACATTTTTGTAGTTCCAAACCAATTTCCAGTCAGTATTTAGCTGGCAACCTTCAGGTCCTTATGCAGGTAGCCTGATTTAAGTGTTAGCCTGGGTGTAATTCCAGTTGCAGTGAAATGACACCAGGACTGAGTTTTATTTGGAAAGGAATGGAAGGCATGTTGTCGAAGTATCTCACTGCCATACAGTCATCTTTAAAATTCAGTTTCCAGCCAGCATTTTTAGCAGCACAGTATAACCCTGCTGAGCTGAAATCTTGACAGCTGTTGAAGCTCAGAAAACCTTTTCACTAAGAAGAAAAGTGTGCATTCTAGCTCACAGAGCAGAGGCCTGTGGTTTTGGACCCAACACCAAGACCCATTACCTATATCCCGCCAAAGCCTTTGACCATGCAGATACAGCAGTAGAATGTTGCATGGTAGCATGACATATTTCAGCAGAGTTCTTCTAATTTGCCTTATATTTTCAAGAACCACTGTTTGGTTTACTTACTTATTATGAATATTACAAATGAAACAAGTGCCAGACTGATGATCAAAGTAAGAATGAAGGTGATGAAGAACAAACGCTGGTTTCTTATGTTGCTCCCTGACGTGTTTTCTTCAGTAGCACCAATGTTCTCTTCCTCATCTATTATGAGATGATAAATTATTTGGTGGTAAAGTTTGTTAAGGTTGGTTATGATAAACATGACAAAATGCTTCTAGATTCATGAAACAATGCAGAATGTATCATAATTCAAATATATTGTAGCTCTTACTGAGTTAAAATAGTCTGGTTGCCATGAGAAATCAAAGATAAAAGCCATATAAAACCAGTAGAAGTGTGAGAGCACATACCTGAAACTGTAAATAAAGAGACTCTGTGAATTAAAATGCTCGAAAGTCTCATGGAATATTTCAGATAACTGGTTTGGGTCCTTAGGAGTTGTGTCTTAAAAGAAGGAACAGTTTTTCCTCTGGTGTTTCTGTTGCCATGTGTGAATTTATTGCTTGTGACAATACTCACAGAGTTACAATGCAATTTATGTAGTAGGTGTTTATAGAGCATTACTAGAGACATTACCCTGCAAGGGATCACTCAATGAATCGCAGTTGAAATGGAAGGGAAGTTCATGCTTGACAGTGAATCCCTAGCTAAATGCAAGGATTTTCAAGAACCTGATAACTTAAATACTCAGCAGGAGCAGCTAAACAATTAATTTGATCTAAATTACACAATTTTCCATCTTCTTACATTTTTCAGTACAGAGCTTGACATACATATTGGCCTATTGGGCTGTTGACAGCAGTGATGCACAATAAGATCAGCCTTTTCAAATGTCATACATAACTCTTTTTGATGGCCTGTTGTATGTATAGAAAACCACAGAGCATCGCCTATTGTACATACCTAGCACATGTTGGGATCCATCTGGACAAACATTTAGTTTGTTTAGGTTGTTTAAGGAATCAACTACATAAAGTTTCCCTTCTTCCTGAGTATTGGGCAGGTTAATTTCCAAGGAAGGCCTCTCCATTGTATCTAAAAGAACTAATAATTAAAAAAGTAAATTAAAATATGGATATGGAAAATAACTGGTAACAGTTGGTGTCCTGTTCTAAGGAAATGATGAGCAGCCTTAACAACCTGTAAAATAAAGGGATTTGAAGGACCAGCATACTTCCTAGGTCTTGAAGGCAAGGGTAACTCAGTACATAGCACTTACTTATTCTGGGAGATCTTTGATGAGTATAATATTTCATTTCTGCATTGTGTTTGTGCATATGTGCATACTTACGCATACATATGTATGTGTGTGGAGAAGGAGAGAAACAGAAAAATCTCTCTGACAGATACCACCATTCATTTGACTTTAGTTATTTTGTTGCATAACCCTTTTGATCTGGTGTGTACTTGGTAGAATGTAGGGTGATATCCTGACTATAGTGAAAGCCACACCTTCAGTGACACTGCTGGGAAGGATGTCACTCAGGTCCTCTGCTTAGAATATCACTGTGAGTTATTATTTGTGAAAAATGGAGCAAAAACTAATCAAATACGGCTCTACTCCACATAGATGCTAGTTCTGGACAAATAAAGCCTGATGGAAAAGCCTTTTTTTCAGCCTAATACTGCTTGCTTTAAAAAAAACACTGGATGGTGCCTAATCAGCACTTCTCAGCAGAGTTTGGGTGCATGAACTCATTGAATGATTGTTTATGTAAATACAGTTCTGAAGGGAGATTATACATAGAGAAGAAGCAATACCTAAGCAGGCTCCTCTATGAATTGCATGCAATGTGACCAGCTTCCTGGTTAAAAACCTGAAGTTAGAGGAATAGCCCTGAGTGTTTAGGGAAAAGACCCACCTCCTTCCCTCATCAAACCAAATGTATAAGATTGTTTAATTCCCCCTGATTGGACCATACAGCCAAACTTCACTGAGCCTCACTAAGTCTTAATACTAAGTGCCTAAATCCTTCTGCAGTGGGTCTCATTTGCCTAATAGTGGAGACTGACAGGCCTATATTGTACACGTATTTCTGTTTAATAGTGTAGGAAAGATTACTGCTTAATCTTTTCCTCTGCTCAGAAGCGTTGCTGCAAAACACAGAGATAAGGTGGAAAGCTGGCACAGTAGTGGTTCCCCCTACTGAGAGTATGATTTTTAGGTGTCCAGCAGTAATTTCAGAACAGACCGTGTCCACTGCCCTTGCACTAGATTGCCACATGGTGCCAGGCAGCACCCTCTTTGCTGCCTCCCCACAAGCACATCAGTAGCCAGCTGCCGTCATTAGGAGCCCTGTGTTTCAACAATGGCGTGCTAGGAGTTATCACCTCATGGCACAGAGGCTTTTGGTTATTTTTAGCTTCCAAAGAGCAGTTGTTTCTCTTGGAAGTTCATTTTGATTAGTACCTCCCTGCAACTTGAGGGAGGACTCAGCAGCTAGAGTGGTAATAAACGTGAGTACCTTCATTAATATGTTTCTGCATTCTTTATTAATTATTTAAAACTGATTCCCTCACTGTGTGTGTAATCACAGTGAAGATGATAACCATTATTAATTCAACAAAGTTATATTACATTTGCTTGATTCTATTGACATGCCAAACAAAGGAGAGAGGATAGTTACTGTAGTCTTACTGGCCAAAAGTATTATTCTCCCAACAAACTGATCTACACACTGAGGTTTTGTGAGTTACTCTATCTCATACTTTAAACTTGCTTAAAGACTTTTTTCCCCATGTGACTTTTAAATTTCTTCTTAAGCTGTTCTGGTAAAATTAGAATAAGAACACACCAAAAATTCTTCACAGAAAAGAAGTAAAATCTAAAAGCAATTAAAAAGCAGGAGAGTGAAACATTACTTACAACATAACTACGTTCAGGTAATGTGCCAGTATGGAAGAGATCAGCCAGTGAAAATCACTCGAAGAACACTTGTTCTGCTGTTCTTTCTCTACTTTTAGAGCCATAGGAAGCTGTCAGCCCCAGCAGAACCCATGAAGGCAGCTAAGAAACAGCCTGTCCCTTTCCATCTATATTTAGACTTCATCTTGGCTAAGTATGCTGACTTCACAGTATTGATCTGTTTATAAAGGAATCAGCACATATACAGTTATTTTTATTATATTGGAATCATCATTATAATATCCTATCATGGAAAATGAGAAGGCTTGTTACTCATGATCAATATTTCACTAACCTTTTGGTTTATGATGCCTTTCCAAAACTCATTTGCTTACGCAGAAGAGTCATAGCTACCAGACCGTAGCTATGATTAACCAGTTTGCTATGCAGAAGTGTCGTATCTACAGTATTGCAGACATGAGTACATTAAAGGCATAGGCTAAAAAAACTCGGGGTATTTTCCTCCTCCTCCCCCACACCTTACCAATTCAAGTGGGAGAGTATTATGGGATGGACAAATTTGTACAATATTGCTAGCTGTTTAAAAATCAGATTCTGATGAGCTGCGTTGTGAGCACCGGTAACTGCTCCTTCGCAGACAGCTCCTGTGGTCACGTTTTTCTCTCTCTGACGTTGCCAAACGTGATGTTCCAGCACACTGCAATGACAGGCAGCTGACACTCATATGAAAGCATTACAGGTTGAAACAGTCCCATTCTGAAGTCATCCTCTACGTCTAGAATTTCGAGTCCTTTTAAGCTGACAAAGTATTTGACTCCCAGGAAACAAGAGGATCCATCTTCTGACTCACAGCTCCACAGCTGACAAGCTCTGCTGCTGCCTGGTCCAAGTAACAAGGACCCAGGTCTCTGCAGTCCAGAGGCAAAGTCTACAGAGCAGACAGGGCAGCAGAGGCGTCCCCCCCATCAGCCAGCCTTGGAAGCTGTCCTGGTCTCGGCAGTTGGCAGTGGCAGGGTAATGGGGGAAAGGGCAACCACGTGCTGGGCCACCAGCCAGAAGGGGCTGTGGAAAGCACTGGAAAACACTGCCAGGACAGGAAGCTATCAGAAGTGCTGCTTTACACGAGCAAAGGGTGCCAAAGGCAGTACCAGCAGCCAGGGCAGAGACCACCAGGCTTGTGGGAACACTTGGGCTGGGGAAACAAAAACAGCTTCATATAGCCCAGGGATCAGAAGTTACTTCTCTGCTTGCATGACGAATACTAACAGCACACATCAGTAACAGCAGAGACCTCAGCTGAAGGCCTTGTTATAATGTGTAGAGTCAGTTATGTAAGCCAAACACATTCATACATAATACATTATTTCAGTGAAAAAAAGGTTAGAAGGTACAGCTGATTGGCATGTATGGAGTTTCTGGAATAGCTTCTGCTATAATCAGAAACTTAAAAAAAAATCCCAAACCAAACCATCCTTATCAGAACAAGCAGCAATTTTTAGGGGGTGGGGTTGTTTTGGGGTGTGAGGTTCATTTCCTCTGCTGATAACTTGACTTACACTTTTAAGAATGTTTAACAAGCACTTTACTTACAGATCTTCTGGTTCAGAAGCTTCAGCTAGCTGGGATTTAGTGTCTTTATTACATTACAGCCCCCCGTCCCTATGACAAGACAGTTCTTGGGTATTGGCACATTTCAGTGTTCTAGAGCCATAAACCAAGGGTAGGAGTAGTTTTTAACATGTCAGAAGCAGGGCAGCTGGAATGACTCTGGTTAAGATAAGGGAGGTGTTGTGCAGTTCCAGAACTAAAAAACATTTCACCATGAGAAATGTGATGACAAGTCTACAGTAGGCTGTTGTGAAGACCCTGGCACCTTCAGAACTCAGCAAGGCAGCTACTACAGCATGGGGACTAACCCAACCACACTGCTGAATTGGCAAATAAACGCATCTGTTTCAACCTCTGGGTGTTGCTAGTGTTCACTTTTCATTCGTGCAGTAATCACTTTTACACAGAAAGCAAGCAACAAGAAACAATTTTATTCCAAAAATTAAAATTCTGATTTCAGAGCACAAGAATCTTGGGTTTATTTTACATTGAGGCAAGTATTTGTCATTTAGTACTTTACTGTAAGTGAAGGTACTGGAACTTCATAGGATAGTCACACTATGCAGAAATTTGTCTACCTTCTAGCCACAGGAGTTTAAAAAGTTACCAGATTAATTTCACACAAGCAAGTTCAACTTTTGAGCTTAGCACATTCTTACCAGAACACTCGGCCAATGAATTCATTTAGTTTGCCTTGATGTGAAGTAAGGAATCCCATCTGACACACAGCATTTGACTACAGTTGCTTACCCCACTGAACAGTTCAGCAACACCATATTCAGACTTTGGAGCAAGTTGCATCTAATTCAAGTGTTACAATGTACCCCTGCATCCCATCTATGTACAGTGTATATGCAACTAAGCAACAACATGCATTGTATTTACAGACTTTATACAACATCTCTGTGCACAAGTGCAAACTGACTACAGAAATAAAAAAAAAATCATTTAAAGGTTAAAAATACATTTCAATTATGAATATTGAAAGCCATGGAAAAGGAGATCTAGAAAAACTCCCCCACGTCTGCTCTTTTATCACGACATTTACTTCTAGCCTTTGTCCGAGCCTTGAATGCTGCAGAGTTGTACAAGTGCTACAAAATAAAAGGAAAACATTAATCACAGATATTAAAAAGCTTATGTACACTGTTTTTCATCTTAAGAAACACCTTGAAATAGTTTTTTATTAATCTTTGAACAAATTGGTAGGCCTTTTGAAATTTATAGTATAATATCTTTGTGCACCAAAGACAGATTCATTTCAATATATACACATTTAAAAGAAACTTGGATTGTATAAGAAAGCCTGAGCTAGGAGCAACCCTGAAGCTAGTCAGTGCTGAACATCACACACAGGCACAGTGTAGATTAAGTCTGCCCCCAGATTAAATTTGGCAGCACCATTTCACAAATGGTTCGTACAGGATAAGTACATTCACAACCAACAGAACAAAGCCATCATCATCCTGCCAGTGTCCCCTTCACACTGCGAAGTTTGGGACTGTCTTCATTAAGACTTGGTTTCTACAGCTTCCTGTTGGTCCCTGCCCAAAATCCTATGGCTTTCCTTAGAGCCCTAGTTGCACACGCACAGAGCATGAATCTGATACCAGTCAGCAGCCACATCAACCTCCAGACCTCCTTGGAAGAAAAAGCAGTAGCAGACACATGCTCAGTGGAAGAGCTAAAATAAGAGCTCAAAGACACCCACAAAAGCAAGGTTTGGCTTCATTCAGGATAATATAGAACACTTAAGTTCTAAAGTGACACCTTAAATATGACAGCTTCTCAACCACATGTCTGGAATACCATTTAATTCAGGAGAAATATATTAATGTATCAATATCAAAGTGCAAGCACCTACCCTTTCAAAACGAGATATCTTCATTGTTTTAAGAGTTGCAGCATCTACCATTACTGGTGGACCAAGCTCAAACACATTCCGAAGAAAGTCATTTGACTAAACAAGAAACACATCAAACAATCAGTATCTCCCCTGGTTATCAAGTCTCCAAAGATGACTACTGTTAAATATCAAGTATTACAGCAAGAAATTGCAGCAATTTGACACGTATCTTAGTAACTTTTGCAATTAAGCCAGGGAACACTTCCTCCTTTAATCAGAAAAAGGCTATGAACTACAACTGCCCTCTTGAGACAGAAACAGGTCATCCCCCCATGGATTTTTTTTGTCCTTGAAAACGAAGACACTGTTCTATGACACTGTCTATGCAAGATTAGGCAGCGGGACACAGATCTGTATGGTTTCACAACACAGCAATTTTAAAGTATCTGGCTGTAAATGTATTTTAAAGACTGAAGAAGCTGTCAAATACATGGGCTCCCTCAGTCACCTTGAAAGTCAGCTGGCACCGGACTGAAGATTTTAATCCCATGACTATCATAGCAATTTCAGTGCGTATACCCCAAGACACAATTCCTGTTTCTGTTACCTATCTGAACAGATGACTAGTGAACAAATAAGGACTTATTCTTTCCCTTCTGGAATGCTGTCATCATTGGGCTGCAAGTTGTGTTCATCGCTTTAGACTAAACCTTTGCATTCCTTTTTAGAGGCTTGACCAGGAAGGGTGGAGGCGTGCAGCTCTTTAACAGCCAGTCAACTACAGCACTGCTAAATGACAGCACAGATTCAGGAAAAACCCTGAGGCTAAGAAGGTATTCAGCTCGAATATCTTACTTCTTAGAGAAGTCTTCTAATTGCAAACCCACAGCACACTCAGGCTACAACTCAGAAAAAGCTCTCTCTAGTTCATTTTGTAAGTGCTGCCTTTTAACACTTCTAATGCAAATCTCATCATTCCACCAAATTCTACTCATGACTTCGTAATTCAGACTGAAGAAGCCAGACAGAGAACAACAGTCTGAGCATGCATCAAACAGCAGCTCACCTGCAAATGATACTGCATCCCCGATCCCAGAACATCCTTGAAGGTATCATAAGTTTGTTTTTTAACCCAGCAGTCAATATACATACGCTCAGGTCCAAACTTAACCATCTCTGTTGGAAAGTCACGCTCCTATCCAAAATTAAAGAAAACAACATACATAATTTTAATAACATTCAAAATAATACATGTATATAAACACTGTATTTATTCATAAACTGATGAGTTTAACCTGAAGTTAAATCTCATGTAAGACTTGAAGCTGACATTCTTCAAGTCAGAAAGCATTTTAAAGAAAGAACACTTGACTTTCATCTTTAAAGTGAGTTTTAAGAATTGGACTCCAGAATCTCCAGAAAAGCGAGTTCTGAGTTCAGCAGTGACCTTGAAGTCTGTGTGTAAAATTAATTTAGTCCCCACTTTTCAGGTGCTGTGAGCTACATTTGTGACAATGGAATGTAACAAGTGCTAACAAGTGACTCGGACTCTTCTACAGGTAGATCTCAAAAGTGACTCCGAATCTCTTCAAAGCCTTCTCTTTAGCTTCCGAGAGGTCAACTGTTCTGAATGTCAACTAGCATTTAGTTGGTCTTACCGATACAACTATGTAAGAAGCAATTATCTGACAAGGAAAAAAAACAAAAATCTAATGAGAGGTGTAAAATAACAACCCACTGAAGTGACAGAAATTTGACAGTTCAGTGAAGCCTCTAAGACACGTCGCTAACCAGAAATTTTGAAAGTCCTGCTTTGCATATTGTTCTCTTAATTTGGATATGGAAAGCCAAAAGATTACAGCACGACAATTAGGACAATGACAGTCCACCTTTCCCAGGCCCTCTTTCTTCAGCCCCTGACAGGTGCCAGTTGGAAATGTATTTTACTACCAAGCTGTTTTTTGTTTATTATGCACAGGAGTTCAGTAGCAGATTTTAGAATGAACCTTTTCACAGAATTCAGGACACAGATTTGGATGTCCTACGAAGTCTTCTATGAAAAACAAATCTGCTCATGGAATAAAATAAGAATTTAGTATTTACAGTACAATGTTTAACCTTCTTGAAAGAAACATGGAGTCAAGCTTGAAGCAAAATAAAAACTTCCATGACATATAACTACTTTTTTAGAAACACGGAATAAAGTAAGTAATCAGAATTTGAAGTATCATTTAAAATAATTTGTTCCTGTTGCTCTATTTATTCTATTTAATAATAAAATCATTTTCATTAGATTGTACACTGCACAGTTAAGATCCAGACACTTAAAGCAAGACAAAAGAATCACCTCAACAGCTCGTAGCACATCTCTGAAAACAGATCGCTGCTTTCTCTTATCTACTTTGGCTCGGTGCTTGTTTCCATCAGTAGCCAGAGCTCTTAGTTTTTCTGTTAGAAGTTCCATGTCTTCATAAAAGAAATCCTAGTGAAAGAAAAAAAACCATAAGAAAACACTTCAGCTTCTGGCCTCAACATCTTCCCCTGCAAATAGGAAAATGGATCTCTCCAAATTCTAGGCACCTAGATCTCTACAACATGTTACTTCGTTATTTAAAGAGACGGTGATGGCACTAACTTCCTGCTGTTCCATTTGCAGTACTTAAGCCAGTAAGAACAAAGTCACAGCATCCACTTTACCAAGTAGGCCACCACCAAGCTCTATCCTGGTAGCCAGAGCCACATGAAACAGTACAGCTCCTTCAAGTGTTGTGTATAGTGATTTTTTATTTTAATCTGAATGTTGTCATGTCTATTGACCAGGCTGAGTTTACTGCATGCTTTTTGAAATAAACTGGTCAGAGGCAAAACACAGTAAGCATTTGTAATCTGTGGTGATTGTTAAGGATCCAAAGAGAATATTTTGCAATGATTAGAGGTATTTCCTCAATGGAACCCAAGATATTTTTGGTGAATGCAAGTCCCATTTATTAACGCATTTTAAGGTTTTAGTTACTTGCAGTCAGTGTGACCAAATAACGGATCAGTTTCCATCTCTTTTATTTTTGTTACCTTTCAAAGTTGCTTCCATAGCCAAGAGAACCAAATCCCTGCTGTCTGCAATTGTACACAGATCTCAGCATATTGTTTCAGATTATGCAGTGTTAAGCGTGTCACATATCCTGACTCAAATGAGCTATCATTTCACTTTGCACAGTGCTCTGGCAAAATCAGACTTGTTCAAGCTAGAAGCCATTCAGGCAACTCTCTCACACTGTGCCATGGGAGTAAGTAGAAGCTGTTTCCTTCACTGCTGACAATAAAACAGTTCGAAAATCAGCAAGACATATTGAAGAATGTAAAGGCACGTTTAGCCATGCGACTCCTTTAAATATCTTCCCCCTTATAGTCCCAACTGACTAAAATTGTCACAAATGCTATGAAACCATCATGCAATACTATTTCTGCCTTTCAAGGTACCTAAATAAGAATACTGAAAACACAATACTGGAAGTCAACATGATTTCTACTGAAGAATATATTTTTAGCTGTGAGTGCAGAACTGTGCAGGTTTTGAATCACTGGAACTTGACTGCCCAAGTATCTAATGAGTTTTAGACTGGAATGTGCCAGGGCTTTTGTTTGCTTGGGGTTTTTGTGGTTTTTTGTTGTTTGTTTTGTTGTTTTTGGTTTGGTTTTTTTTGTTACTTTTCTTAAAAGCTGGCACTGGATTTAAATTTTAAAGCTTACATACTGCATTTCTAATTGCTCTTCAGTACTGTTTGATGTGTTTTGTTATACTGGTCCTGTTTTGCAATGTGGAAATAGGTATAAAAATGCTAGCTAAATAGCTGTGAAACACTGCTATACCCACTTAGATTTGGGCAGCCTCACTATAAAGAACGTAAACAAGCGAATTATCTGCCACTTGTTGAAATCTGGGGTGCTATGCAACACAGGTTAAGTAATATGCCTTATCATCAGTGCAAGAAAACGGAGCTGCTGACATCTACTTACAGCATCTGTTTCGCGTGCTAGTTCAAACAGAAGGGCTAGTGTTTCTCCAGCAGCTATTCTCATGTTGAGATCATCACAAGACAGCAGACTTGGAAGTTTATGCAAGTGCCTAAGGACAAAGTCACATTTCATTAAGATGTAAGTTTTGTTGACCCTGCTTCACTGCATATAAAGTCATTCCAAATTTTGTTTCCCAGGATAGACACTCACATTTCAATTTTCTTCTTCACTTCATTCATTGGACAAATGGTCAACAACAGTGTCCACGCTAAGAGAGCACTGATGTGAAGCACAGTGTTATGTGTACTTGATACACCATTAGTGTCTCTATCTCTCTGATAGGCCTTTGTGAAGATGTTTTCCAGGCACTCCATAGTAGAGTACAGCTCCTGAACAGCAGAAAAAAACATAACAGCAATGGTTTAAGATTCACACATTTTCATACTGTCAATGCATTAAGAAGAAAACCAAAAAAGTATTAATCCTCACCGTAATGTCATCAGTGACAATGAAACAGCAAATCCCCAAGCAGGTAGCACACTAGACACAAAAGAAAAAAGAGTCAGAATTTGACATTAACCTTACTGTTGACAAAACTTTGACCTTTGAAATTTAACATCCAGAGTAACCGAAACTTGAGATTAAGACCTTAGCAGAGTACAAGTCTTCAACACTGTGTAATTCAGCCTCTTTGCAGTAGTTAGCTCGTACTTCCTGTCTACTCTCAGGATGGTTTTACAACAGATGCTACTCACAAGCCTTTACTTTTCATGCTGGTTTAGTTAATATAATTTACATAAAGCAATATGTAGCACTCCTTTCACCCAATTATTTTAAATCCCACTAGGATCAAGCTAGCAGAAATTATGTTGATAATTAGTAATGAACACATTTATTCACATCTGTGTGAAAGTACTTTCCCTTCTCTGCTCTCTCTTATAATTAAATGGCATGAAAACACTGGACTCCAAGAGCCATTCCTGGAAATTTCCAAATATTGTTGAGAGGTCCCACTTATCTCTTCCCCATCCCCCATATTCTACTCTGTGTCCTCCTACAAAGAGTAAGACAAAAGTGTTTGAAAGTGATGTTTGCACTAACCACACAGGACTCAAAACTACACTTGAAACAGGAGAAGCTTCAATAGCTTTTGTTTGCTTGCAAAAATAACTGCTGTTGAACTAAGACTTCCTTCTCTTCCAGCTGATAGTATCTATTGTAACACAGCTTGAGTACAACAGAATTAGCCAGCTATATAATAATAAAGGCAAACTGGAGAGTATTACTTATAACTCTGAAGTTTAAGAAAATATTAGCAAGAGCTTTAGACTGTCTTCAGTCAATATTTCAAGTATACCGCTGATGCACAGGTGAGATGACTGGGCAAAATACTTCGGTAGGACAAATGTATCAAATTACTTCTAGATATGCTATATGTAATTTTATCATATGTAAATATATTTGCATAAGTAACATTCCTCTGCAGTTAAAGAAGTTAAAATTAATACAAGAAGGATATAACAGTCAGTGGAAAAACTTTTTTTTTCTCCTATAGGCCTTCAACATCAGCCCCCAGAACTGCAGTAAGGAGACTGCAACATAGTGAGTGCAGACACTTGACACAAAAGTACTAGATCTAACAGCTCTTTAATGAAATTCCTAGGTTGAAGAAGAGGATGACGTTCAACCTTTACGTGGGACTTCCTAAGTCAGTGAGAACTGCTATGGCTCATTCAGAGCATATTTCAACATTCTGAGTTTGCACTTGTGTAACAGCCTTTAGTCTGGATTACACAACAGTGAGCTGATCAAAAACTGCCCTCTGTCCCTGCCTGGCAAATAAACATTTCATACTTACAGCCTGCCTGGCTTGTATGCTTGCTGTTCCATCACAGACAATCTTCTTTAGAACTGGACCAAGGGTCTTAAAAATCTCTTCACTTTCAATTCCTGACCCCATCTGCACACACAGAAGACATGCCAGGCCAGCAGCTGCACACTGTTCATCACTCTTACCTAGAGATTAACATACTACGATGAGTGATCTCCTGCATTGCTTCCATCCTTTAACCCTTTAAAAATAATAGTCTGAAAACTTGCAAAACAAAATGCAGAAGCCAACAGACAGAAGATAAGTTAATTTTCTAGGTGGTGTAAAATGTGACATCTAAATGAAGAAAAAGGACTGTTACATAACTAAATTATTAAGCACTCTAAAGTACTAGAGAAGCCTCACAGCCTTGATTCCTTTGAAACAATGAGCTATTTCATAAGGATTATTGCCTTCTAATAACAAGCATGTTAATTACCTTTCTTTATGCAGCGTTCAATACTATCAGTTAGTGTCATTCTCCTTTCCATGATAAATTCAGATAGGATTTTAGAAGAAAAAGCATTTTTCAGGCTTTCAAGAGCTGCTTGTCTTGTCTTTGCACTGTTAGAAGAGAAAAGAAAGACATCCTGAAATCAGCACACATCAGTTAAAGCTCAGCCTTTGTTTTTTATGGTAGTTTCTTCTATTGGATACAGTCAAATACAGTAACCCACAGAAGCACCATCAAGTATTACATGCTATGAATTGCCTCTTCCTCAAAGATAAAGAGACTTAAGATTGGAGAGAGAATTCACAACAGTATACTAGGCTAGAAATAAAAGTCCCTCTACTTCAAGCTATTAGGAAAGGGAAGTCTGACTCTCCCTTATCCAAAAACTCTGGAGGGAAAAAGGTCTTTTCAGATCCAGAAGAAAAGCAAGTCCTCCCCAGCATGAAATAATTGTCATTTCAGTAAGCATATAAAGAACTTTGATGCATATTTCCCTTATCACAATCAGAGGAAACCAGTAAGCAATATATAAATGTTTCTTCAAAGCATACTATACCTCTTGTCCAATGTAAGATCAATAAATCCCTTCAATTTGTATTCTAAGTCTTCTTGAGTGGCTTCTTCATCAATTTCAGGCCCTAATCCAGAGAAAATAATTTAGTTCTACACATTTTATTAGTGGACAAAGTAGTATCCAACAGCTAATATTTTTAATACTAATAAAAAAAGCAGTTCCACATAGGCAATAACTACAGAATGGTGTTATACCTACAACAAACTGCCCCTTAAAATAATTTCATAAAAATTGATCTATTGATACATCTGTGGTGTTTCTATAGATGCTTCTTAGGTGTGCCAGGAATGAACAAGGAAGCTAATCAGCTCTTACATAATTTGTTACAACTGAAACCATCAGCCAACCCTGTCAGCAACACATTTTCATGCAATACACTCCACCTACCCCTGAAACAGAGTGGGGTGTTCACTGTTGATAGTAAGTACTCCCTAAGCAGCCTGTCCCATCTGCCATCGCTTCAGATGCCTCTGCAACAGCAGCTTAGTTAAGAGCAGCAAGTATTCACAGTGAAGCCTCCCTGCCTTACGCTACTGTTGGAGGCTTCCAGGTCCCTTCCTCCCAAAAAATGACATAACAGCAGCCCAGGCTGCAGACATGGTAGAAGACAAAGCATAAATCTAGTTCAAAACAGGCAAATCTTTCCATCTCAAATTCTTCTGCAGTTCTTACACCTCAACTATGTGTTATGAAAATCAATGCCTTATAATTCACCTGAAAATTCTTACTGTCTCCAAAAGTTAGTCTTGTGTAATTTTAACAGAAAAAAGCCTAACAGTTTCAGGAGAGGCTCATGAAACCTGGAGTACATGCTTGCCAAACAAAAACAACAACCATTAAATTAACAATCATGCCATTACTGTGCTACTGCTACTTACAGTCTAGTACATAAACTGCTAAGTCAATTAAGATTTTATGGTTTGAACAGACGAATAGATATAAAAGAAAAACATACCATCCTCAGTGAAGCTAGCAGGATCACTGAAGCCACTGCAGTGGCTCATAGTTTCAATTGAAGCATCTTCATCACTAAAAGGCTGCACACTTCTGGGCTGACCGCCTTAAGGAAAGATAAACACAATAGTTTGGTCATTTTTTCACATGGAAAAGGCATATCTAAATACCAAAAGTAGAATTCAACCCTCCCAACAGACTCACTCTCCCTGACCCATTCATGGAAAGCACATATTCTTCCTCTGATGGTTCTCTCACTCCCACCTGACCTGAAGATTTAGTTGGCTCTGTTCTGGAAGATCATTTTCAATGTATTGGTAGAACTCCTAACTCTAGATTTAGGATCCTTCTACAATCAACTTCAAGTTAATGCAATTCCCTGTGACTGTGCTTTAAAAAACAGCTCTATATTAATTTAACTGTTAGGAAAAGCTACGTAAAAATTGGTATATAATCTTATTTTTCAATTTAAAGAGACTTCAGGCCAGGGTAAGTTATACATTACCCAGTTCACTGCAGAATTTATGTGATTAAGTGTAGTATGTGCAGGATAAGCAACGTCCAACCCTATATCCAGCTGAATTGCAAATACAAGCAAGAGCATCAAATGCTTCAACAGGAGAGAAAAGTTTTCCCCTCTCAGGTCCAAGAAGGCCTCAGTTCTCAGTAACTTCTCTCCTTTTAAATAAAGCGGTATTATTTTTACCCATGCTCATCTCTACAACTTTTCATACCTGTATCTTATTGTTACAAGATTAAGAATTGGAGGAGTTCAACCGGAGAACACTGTAATTTCAACCGCTGTCCTAGCCTAGTCCTTAACTTTCATCTACTAAGGTTGATTAGCAAACTAGTTTCACTGCGATTTCTCCAACAGCTCCTAAATGCCATTTACAAACCCTAGGATCCTGCTCTTCCACCTATTTTTTGTGGTTCAAATTATTCTGAATTATTTAACAAGGCACTGCAAAGTGCTTGCCAGCTTCGGGCAGGTTTCCTGACTACCAAAACCCCTCAAAGCCCCATTTTCATCCAGCCAGAATCAACCTCAAGTTGATCACTCCCCAAGTTAAATTTGTACTCTAGAGGTTTTGCAGCTCTTAGCCATAAACCACCTACATGTACCACTGATCATAACCTTTGATGCTTCCTGTAGTTACAAAGGAAAACACTAGCCAATGCATGGCTGAAGAAACCTGTAAGCCCAGAGCCCTGGCATGGCCACTTACCGGTTTCCAGCCCTTCAAAAACTAAAACAAAAGCAGCTGCAGAAAGACCCAGTGAACTGCTCATTTCTGGAACATTTGATACTAGAAATACATTCTGATCACAGCTATGGTAAGCTAAAGTGAAAGTTCTCGCCAACCCCACAAAACCTTTGTTTTGCCCTGGCATCAGCACCCTGGCCGCATGGACTGCAGACTGTATGAACACTGTTTCTTTTATAATATCCTCTTTCAGGCTAAGAAAATGTGTTGTTTTGTTTGTTGCTTTTAAGGACCCTGCAGCCTTTCAGAGCACAATACTCTGACATGCAGCCACACCAGGGACACCGGAATGACAGCACCAGCTGTCCCCCCGCCCCGGAAGGGCCCACGCTGCCGGCGGTGCAGCAACGCTGACTTCGAAGGCTGTGTGTGCCGAGGACGCACTCCAGACCCCCGCGCGCCCGGCCTCCCTGTCCGCAGCCCGGCTCCCCGGGCTGCCCTAGGGCCGCCGGCCACGCAGCACCCGCGACCGCGGTGCGGTCGGGAGGCCCCGGCGGGCCCGGCGCCGGCCGTTGTCCTCAGAGCGCCGTTGGCCGCCGCCTCCCCAGGGCCGCCCGCGCTGCCGGGCGCATGCGCGCAGGCGGCGTGAGGTGGCGGTTTCGGGGTCGGCTCCTGTCACCCCGGCGGCGCCGCCCGGCCCGTGCCGTGCTACAGCTCCGTCGCACCCAGCGGCCGCGCCCGTCCGTCCGCTGGTCCTGTACGGAGCCGGGGAGCAGCCGGCCAAGGCGGCCCATCCGGCCGCGGCCCCTCACTCCGGCGAAGGCCGCCTCCCTTCCCCCGACTGCGGCCACGGGAAACGGTGGGTGAACTCCCCGCCCGGCAAGGCCGCCTTTCCCGAGCCCCCACCCGCGGCTCGGCCACACTCACCGGCCCCGCGCTGGTGGTTGCTCCCCCGCTTCTTAGGCTTAGGCATGGTCGCAGCGGCGTTCAGCTCGGCTCCCGCGGCCCCTCTCCGGGTCTCCGTGTCTCTGCTCCCCCCCGCCCGGGAATCAGCGATAATCAGCCGATAGAAGAGCAGGATCGCTTTTTACTCCAACGCCTCTGCGAGGTTGACTTCGCGGTCCGGGGCAGCGGGGGTGATTGGCGAAAGCAGGCGGAGGACGAACCGGCGGCGAAGGCAGAAATCCCCGTGGAGGCCCGTGAGCGGAGTCGATGCATCTTTCTCCTCTCAGACACCCGGGGCTAAAGGCGCGGAGCGGGCGCCGGCTCCACTTTTATAGCCGGCCGCGATGCGGGGGCGGGGCCACGAGGCGCGCCGTTGCCTCCACCAATGGCTGGGCGTTGCGACACGCGCGGGTGACTCGTTGCGTGAGACCGTGACGGAGCCGCGCTGCTGCCCAGTGGCGGGATGGGGACGTCATTGGCGCTTGGCGCACCACGCCGCAGTGCATGCTGGGAGCGGCGGGGTTGGCAGCCAGCCCACGGGTGTGGGGGGGCGGCGGTGGTAGTAGTAGCAGTGCGGCCCGGCCTGTCCTGCCCTGGTCCGGTCCTGTCCGCCGGTGCTGTGCCGCGGCTTTGGGATCTGTTAGCGGCCTCCGCAGCCCACACCGAGCTCGGTGACGCTTCGGGGTGGGAGGATGGCTTCGGGGGCAAGCGCTGGGCAGAAGGCGGTGCGATTGCGTGTCCCCGTGGGCGTCTGGAGTACCGCGCTGTCTCCTGGGCGGGGGATGCCAGGGCGGGATAGATAGAGGATCGCGTTGTGCCCCTCCGGATCCGTACGTGCCTGTCTGTTGAGCCGGGCCTCTCGCCGTGTCCGGCGGTGGCAGCGGGCACTGTTGAATCGGTTTGTCAGAGGGAGCACTGTAGGGGTACGGGGCTGCCTCGGCGCTGGTCGCGGTGTACGGCTCTTGGGAAGTGCCGTCAGGAGTCGGCTGCGCCCCCCTTGTTTCAGAACGCACGGGACTGAGCTGATCAGCGCACAGCAGGTTTTCTTCCACGCACATAAACGGGTTTTGTTGTCATGTTTGTATTAGTTACATCTTCAGTGTAGAGACTGGTACTTCAAGTCTAAGTGGTTTCATTTTTAATGCAAAATTGATTTTTTTTACTGTTTTACAATCTGCAAATAAAAATAACATCCCTATTAATCGAAAAGAGATTTGTTTGTAACATTTCTGAAATGTGAATGTTTATGAATTGTTACTGGTGGGCCACAAGTACTGTGGTGTTGATCAGAGGGAAGACAACTTTGCAGAACACGCTGGAAAGCTACATAAGACTTAACAGCAATTACACTGAATTCTTTTGCATACAAAATACATTTACACTGACATCCAGGAACGTGAACTTTCATAAGAATTCTATATAAACACTACATGAAAAATGAAGGAAACGGGGTTTAATGACCTGTTTGTGAATGCTGAGTAAGGAAACACTAGTAGTGTTTACTGTGGAAGCAGTTGACTGTAATACACATGGGCACTGGTGGAGCTCAGCGCTTTGCATTGCTGTAGAGTAAGAGCCTCCTGATGAACAGTTCACTGAGCATGGGAGAGTCGAGTTGCTGAAAAGGTCTAGCCAGTTCTAGCATCCTAGTGAAGAGCCGAAAAGAGACAGAAGTCAGTCCATACCATGTGTATAGGGCAACACATGGATGTCTCAAAGCCACTGGGTTTTCTTTATGATGAAATGTTAAAGCAGAGGACAGCCTTCCAGATAAGCAGGTGGAGGACTTGCAGTTAGATACAGAAGGCATAACTGTACCCTTTGGTACACAAGTTATTAATACAGGGAACCGTGCTGGGTAGTCTACACCACCTAACAGCAGCCAAGCAAACTTACACGGTGGGAGTATTTGCAGTACAAGATACCAATACCATTTTAGTGAGGTCAGCCATGTCCTAACCATTTCCTGTGTGCTGGCTCTCTTAATGCATAGATTAATGGCAGAGGTGCAGGCTATCTGGCCTGGACTGACTGAACTGCAGTCGTTTCCTTCATGCTTGTAGCCCCATCTCACAGAAGTGCTGTTTGAGGCTGTTGGTGAGGAATTAGATTTAATGCTGAACTCCTTTGCAGGTGTGACAGTCTGAGCAATGTGCAGAACTGTGCACACACATGTGGTAGTCCAGGTGTCCTATAGTGGGCAGGTGCAACAGCCACAGTACTAATTCATGGTGGAATTGGAAGAACTGGAAGTACAAAGCTTCTCCTGTGAAGATGAGGAAAAGGAGCTGGGCTTGTTCAGCCTGGAAAAGAGAAGTCTCTGGGGAGACCTTACAGCAGCCTTCCAGTAACTAATGGAGGCATACAAGAAACCAAGAGGAGGACTTTTCACAAGGGCATTTAGTGACAGGACAAGGGGGAATGGCTTTAAATTGACACAGCATGGACTTATATCAGATATAGGGAAGAAGTTCTTTGCAGTGAGAGTGGTGAGACACTGGAACAGGTTGCCCCAAGAAGCTGTGGCTGCCCTGTCCCTGGCAGTGTTTAGGACCAGGTCAGATGGGGCTTGGAGCAACCTGGTCTAGTGGAAGGTGTCCCTGCCCATGGCAGGGGGTTGGAACTGGATGAGATGTAAGGTCCTTTCCAACCCAAACCATGATTCTATGGAGAGATGTCACCAGGACAGGTGGAGATAAAGCCCTGGAGGAGAGAATGTTGCAGGTAAGGTGGAAAAAGCAACTGCCAAAGCACAGAAAGGTGTTGCCAGACTTGGACAACCAAAATAAATTATAAAAGGTGACCAGAGAAGTCATGACTGCTTCGGATATGTGACCACTTTGAATTTCACTTGGTGCCTTGGGTTCAGCAGTAGCAGTAATTTTTCTCCTTCTTAGTAGCTGGTGCAGTGCTATGGTTTTGACTTTCAGCCTGGGAACGGTGCTGATAACACTGATGGCTTTAGTTGTTGCTCAGTAATGTTTACTCTGACCAAGGACTTTGTGAGTCTCATGCTCTGCCAGGGAGGAGGGGAAGTCTGGAGGAAGCAGAGACAGGACACCTGACCCAAACTAGCCAAAGAGGTATTCCATACCACAGCGCGTCATGCCCAGTATATAAACTGGGGGCAGTTACCCAGAAGTGCTAGATCACTGCTCAGGTCAGGCTGGGTATCAGTTGGCGGGTGGTGAGCGGTTGTATTCTCTTCCCTTGTTATTTCCCTTATCATTATTATTGATGGTGGTAGCAGTAGTGGTTTGTGTTATATCTTAGTTACTGGACTATTCTTATCTCAACCCGTGGGAGTTATATTCTTTCCATTCTCCTCCCCATCCCTCTGGGAGCAGGGGGGAAGGAATTGAGGGGAGTGAGTGAGCGGCTGCTTGGTTCTGGGTTGCTGGCTGGGCTTAAACCACGACACTTGGGCTTCTGAAATACACAGTCTCCAGGTTGCTCAGATTCCCTAGCTATCTGACCAAGAGATCAGTGAGATTGCACAAGAGTTGCATATCACTGCTTAGTTTTGCCATCTCTCTGTGACAGACTCCTTGTCTCACTTGCTGACTTCTTGCCCACTATCATGATTTATACTACTGGTGGGAATGCATGGCACCAGTAGGGTGGCTCAAGACACCTTTCTAACAAAAATCTGTGGTTAAAAGAAGAGTAACGTGATGCTGGCAATCTGTGTAACTGTTGTCTGGCTTATGTCGGTCAGGGGAGCCACAATCCCACTGGCACCAATGATAACGGATGTAGATGAGAAGTGGCATCCTTCAAAGAAACAAGTTTCAAGAAGTGGCAAGTCAAGCTGGGAACAGAGTGTCACAACGAGGCAGGCATGGCAGTGGCTTCCCTACTAAGCCAGAGAAGCCCCAAAGCACCAAACAAAAATAGAAAAGCGGGTCTGGTGGTGGTTACAAGTTTCGGCTAAGAGTACAGATAGCCAGCAGTGATCCAAGTGACCATAGTGGCAAGGAGGTCTGAGGTGAAGCCAGGAAGGCAAGTGAGCAAGTTAGGGTCAGAATCAGGTTCAGTTATGATATCGGCGCCAGCCAGCCACCAGTCTGGTCATCACTGGAAAAGCCCACAGTGATGGGAAGGATCTGAGATCATCACAGATGGGTCAGGATCTGTACCAGCACACACAGGGGCTGGCACAGGCATATCTGTAATATCACTCAGGCAAGGGCCGGGGGAGAGTGCTTCAGTGTAAGTGCAGCTTCTGACCAATGTAAGCTGCTCTTGCTTCTTAGAGCTTTCTCATGCAGCTGATCCAAGGCCACATGGCTGCACTATGGCAGGGCTGCCTTCGAGCACAGCCAGCTTCCTGCTAACAGAGGCCCCAAGAAAAGATCTAATGAAGAACTTCAGCAAAGAGGGACATGCGTATGTGACTGACTCAGTAGATGTGGCTTAGCAAGTATTTGTGTGTCAGAGTTTATTGTAAAGACATGTAAACCATCATCATTTACAAACAATTGGAAGCATAGCCAGATGTACTCTGTTTACACAATGAGAGTCAGAAATGAGGGAATTACATGGATCCTTGATTCATGTGGGTATTTTTTCTTCCTCTTTAGACATGACACTTCTGCTGTCTTTGCAGACAAAATCCTTTGGATTTTCTTCTTTCTGCTGCTCCTTAGGATACAACTCTCTTCAGACACAGAAGAGAATCCCAGGCTCATGCTGGTTGCCCTGTATTGCATGGTCAAGTTTCTCACAATCATAAAAGATCTCAGCACCAAGAAAGAGTCCAAAGCTTGGAAGATGGGCTATGCTAAAGCAATCCCTGCACAAACACTCGATAACACCTGTGCTTCTAGTGGCCTATCAGGACTGACAGGCCTTCAGAGTGTGAACTTGTTAGCAGTGGTGTGGTCCTCACTCTGGAACACTTCATGCTGTAAATACTGTCAGTATCAATGTGTAGCCTCACTGCCCAAAATAAATCTGCCCATAACAAATTAACAGCCACAGCCCTCTTCCATTCTGGCTGTAGTTGCTACAGAGGTATACACTTGGTTGGGGTTTTACTCAGCCCTGTAGGTAAAGGCAACTCATTCGTTTCCTCTGCACCTGGACTTGTATCTGGGGAGAAGGACTAAGATGGAAAGCTTATGTCAGGTCTTCACTGTGAAGGTGCTTAGATGGATGCATGTATTTCCAGGCATACATGATGATGTATCCAATCAGTTCTTACAGGGTGATTAATGACATTTCTGAGATAGCTATTGATTTTTTTTATTGGACAACAGTAAGACACAAACTTCAAATAAACATACAGAGAGGAAAGCCAAGAGCTGCAGCTT